TAGTTTCTTGTAGTTCTAATTTGCTTGGGTCATGCGTTGAGGTTAATGAGTCACATCATCATCATTATCTCAAAGAACACACTACAAAGTTGTGGTGGGGGAAACCCTGAACAAAAGAAAGACAAAAGAGTGGTGGGAAGGGGGAGCTACTACGATATCATCATCATTCCATTCTGGCAAAAGAGGGACAAAAACATTAAAATGTATAATTTCTTGAGACACTGCTGCTGAAATGTTTTGTAATTTTAGATGCAATTAAATGGAAATAAATTCACAATTTAGTTGTAATTTTCTCCGAGGGCTATTTATTTTTCTTCTTTTTTTGGTTTATGTGGTTTTCGTTGGGTCTTTTTTGGTGACCCGATTTCCGCATTTTAATGTTGGACCAGGCTTATAATTTGGTGGGAAAGTACTACACACAGAGAGAAAAGCAGAGAAAAAGTACCTGAGAAAATAAATAATTGCGTTAAGATTTCTTAAATTAATGTACTTCATTTATTTAATTTTAGTGTGACATTTTTCTCCGACTTCCGATCAAAAAGAAAACCAGAATTGAGTTCGCTTTAGTAAATGAGCATTTTTTTGCTCTATTCTACTTTTTGTCTCTGCTAATCTCAAATGCTGCTCTTTCTTTTCTTTGATTTTCACTTTTCCTTGCTTCAGTTCCACTGAGTTCTTCCGCACTCCCACTCCTTTTGTGGCTAACGAGGAAAGTGATAATAATTTTCCAACGCAGAGCCTTTATTGACTATTTTCTGTGGCATTTCTGTGGTCTCTGTCTCTGTCCCTTTCCCTGCGGCTCATATCTTTTTTTCCTTTGTTTAACTCCGCAAACGGAAATGAGCGGCCGTGCCACGCGGCGACGGGGGGTTCAAGGTTCAAGGTTGTGTGCGTAAGGCATTCTCCCACTCCTTTGTGTTTTTTCTTCTTCTGTTATTATAGGAGATATCTTTGTTATTAGCCCTGAAAACGATATCACACACACACACAGCCAGAAATAGAATTCTCGGGGACAGAACTCAACTCCAGACAGAACACAGGGATAAGGCCGCTAAAAGAAGGCAACTTAATGGAAATGGAAATGTGGAAAAATAACAAAAAGGAAGAGAGAACGTGAGATATTGAGTTTGTGTGAGGAGAGAGAGGGGTTGTCTGCACTTAGGGCTAAACATTAAGTAAAGGAAATTGATAAGAAAGCCAAGCAAAATGTTATTTATAGATAAACAAAAAACCAAAGAAAACTAAAGGAAATGAGGAGAAGGTAAATGCATTCAACAGCCGACAAATCGCATCAATCAAGTACGACAACAAATTTAAAAATAAAATTGCATACAAACAAACTTCTTAAGAACAGGACCAAATGGCAAGAGGTCAGAAGTCTACAAGCACAAGCCTGTTGATCCCAGAAGCAAGAATACATAGAGTTTATTCATTTTTAAATATACTTCGCATCAGAAAATCAAGTTCCCACTTTAACCCTCAACACATTTCATCTCAATCGAAGAAAATCCCTTTACAAACAAGTATTTCAATCTCATTCAGGGGGAATCCCAGGGTTAAGACCTCTTAATCCAAACAACATTAGACATAAGAACACGCTCCACAGAAAATTCGTAATGCTTGAAATTATAATTCAATTTACGAGAGGGCATAAAACTACTCTTAGCCAAAAAATCCTTTATCCAGCAGACACTTTGATATGCAAAAGACTCAAGTTGTCGGGAATGGCGGGAGACCCTCGTCAAAGGTCTGATAGATCCTCCACAGAAAGGTACTGCTATACCCGCCGTCGGAAGCACCTCTCTCTCTCTCTGCCTCTTTCCCTCCATGACCGTGTCTCACTCATTAGCATACAAATGTGTCAGCAGAACAAACAGCCGAAAGAACCGAAAAGAATCGGAAAGAAACGTAAAAGGGGGAACGGAACGTCAAGCGTGATTTCTTGACTAATTTTTATGACACTTTTCCACTTTATGAGGTGGGGTTCCTGCCCTTACCTTCCCTCCCTACCTTTTTGTCGGCTATTGAACAGCCATCCCATCCTCATGCAGTACCCAAAAGTACCCGACGTTTGGCCGTAAAGATTTTTTATCGTTCGTGCGAGGATGTGTCATAAAAAAGAGAGAGAGACCCCAAAGAGTAATGGAAAGAGACTAAGCCTACACACTCTAGAACTATTAAAAACAATAAATGACAAAAATGGTACGGATTTTCAAGCGCACAAGTCCCATCCATACCTGAGGAAGAACTGGACAAAGGCTAAAGGGAAATGGTTGGGAAACTATAATGGGAGCAAACTGAGGTAGCTAGTTTTTCTTTGTTTGGGTTTGGAATTTATGATGACTTCAGAAATGAAAGGCAAGTATTAGGAATTTTTATGGATTTTAGGGATTACTTTTAATCATTTGGATTTCCATCGTTTTATTTGAGAGATTATTTTCATTTCTGAGATTAATTTTTGTAAATCATCTTTAAATGGACTTCTAAAATGTCCCTTAAAAACGCCACTTAATTTTATATATTTCTTTTTTATGAACTCTCTTCCTAAAGCTCTCCTTAAGCTCTCCCAAAATATGTCTAAAGTAATCATAAACTTTGTTGTTTCTTTGAACCAAAATCAAAATTGAAATTCAGCCTTATTAAATATTCTATTGTATAATATTTTCCTGTCTCTAGGAAAACTTCCACCCAAAGGGCTCTTTCGAATCTCTCCTTAAATATTCCAAGACTTAATGTTTAGGAAATATTTTCTTTTCAAAAGTTATTCCAAAGTTTTGGCTGATACAAAAAAAAAAATGTCCAGCCATCCATTCGCATTATTCGTTTGCCTCTACATATTATATTTTTCGCCACCTAATTCTTTCTCATTTAGTGAAGAGGTCATTCCTCCTGTGCTTCCTTTAGCTGTCTCTGTCTCTTCCTTAGCCTCCTCTCTCTCTTTTCTCCATTTACATATGGAATGAGAAAGAGATGGATAGCGAGTATATTAGATAGTCAAATCACGTAAATTATGACCAGGGCTCTCTGTCTGTGGCCTCTCCTCTCTATAATTCCTTATCGCTGGAACATGATTTCGAATGATAGACTGGCACTAAGACCTGGACTTTGGTAACTGGACTTTGGAATAGGAGGAGTAGGAGTACGGAGAAAGGAGGCAGGCACGATATCTATGCCATTTCCCAGTATTTGGCGACAAGTTTTCTTTCATTCGTGATACTCTTTAAAAGAGGGTATGGGGATTATTGAAAAGAGGTTCATTATTTCAACTATTTGAAAAGGAAACTTTGGGTGAAAAATAATAATTGAATAATCTAGAAACCCAACAATCTATGGTTGTATTTCACATATGTATTTACAATACATTTGGAACAATATGTTATGGAAAACCATCACCAAGTGTATCAAAAGTTTCTGCCTTTCTTTCTTTTATTTTGGTTCACTCCATTTTTGGTTGGGCATGGGGGCATGCAATTGGCAACTGGCGCAACGCATAAATTGAGAATTTTTATCTAATCCGCGGCATCTGAAGAGACGCGTACATTAGCTCAGGGACGACGAGCGACCGACGGCGTGGCACCAGTCTGTCCTGCTGTGGTCGGGGCGGGGGTCTCAGTGTCTCTATCTCTCTCTCTCGTTGGTATCCGTGTGTCTGAGGTCTGGGGACAGGCTTTAGGATCTGGCGACGACGACGACCATCGACAGGCTATAAATCACCTAAAGTTGGGGCCAGAAATTTATGTGCAGCAGATTAGAATCGGCCAAAAAGCGTCATTAGAATAAATGGTTTCAATGTGCAAAAGAAAGAGAGAGAGATACAACGGAGCGAAGGAATAAAACAGTTGAAGATACTTTTAATTATGAAATTATTTTGGGGAGGGACGACTCATTCCCAGAGAAACCCGTTCGCTATAGTTGCTTATTTTTGTTTTAATTATGAAATATTGTGGACTTACCGTTTGGTTCCTTTCTGCTTGGCTGCATTCGCTGTCGCCTTTCCTCCTAGCCAGAAAACGCCTCCTCAATTACCGCTCCATAAACACCTGTACGCCTCTTCTTCTATTTCCTCCTGCTCTTTCCTTACTCTCTCGCTCTTATTCGAAGGACTTAGACAGCCTCTTTTATCCGCTTTTGTGCTCCTCTCCGTGTTGTTGGGCCTGTTCCCGTTATAATCCAATAATCCAACACGAAACAGCGTGTGCAGTGGAAATGGCGAAAAAATAGGCAAACGCACACACACACGCACAGCGCTGCGTATTTAAGAGTGGAGTGGGTGGCCCTCGGTCGCCTTAAATCCGCGTGAGACACCGCTGCCTGAGAGTGAGAGTGTGGGCGACAGCGCTGCCGCTGCCGCTTGCTCTCTGCCAGCGTCGCTTATTTAGTAAATTAAACTTTTTCACTTTCAGCAATTGTTTTTGTTTCTCTTTTCGCTTATTTTCCTTTCTTACACACAAAACAGACACTTGTACACACACACAAACAGACACACACACGTACAGAAACAATGTTGAACAAAAGCCAAGTCAAGACAGGTACAAAAATTCTAATAGAAGTCAAAGCGGGCAGAGGCAGTAGCAGACATCGCCAGGCGTCGCTGTCGAAGTTAGTAGCAGCAGCAGCGTCGCATTCTAGAGCTAATAGAAGCAGCAGCGTCGCAGCATCCGAAGTCCAGCGCACCAGCAACAACAAAAACAAGAGGCGGCTCGGCAGACGTAGTACACAAAAAAATTCCTTTTTCGCTGAGCGTCGTTGTCGGCGTCGCCGTTTTTCCGTCTCCTTTTTACTTTGTTGTTGTATACTTTATTGTAGTATTTGATATTTGTTGTAATTTCTGCTGTTTTATATCCCCTTTGTTGTTACATGATGTACATACTTTGTATTTGCACTTCTCTTGATATTGCTTTCCTTTTATTAATGACTTTTCTTCACCTTACAACTTATTTGCCGCACTTTGCCTTTGCAATTACAATTACTCTTCACCTCTCTCTCTCTCTTACACTCACCGTAAACAGATGCCACAGACAAACACACACACGAACAGACAAGAGGATTTCCCAATTTCTTGTATTTATGAATATTATTTAATAAACATTTATGTGGAGCATTTCCCAGCCGGATTGACGATACGCGTGAAAAATATAAACAAAACGCAAGCACCGCGCGAAACGACGCAAATTCGAGAGACGAAACCGGCGACGCTGAGAATTTTCACTGCCAAACTTCGTTTTTAGTTGAAAAAGTTAAATTACACAAATACGCGCGGTAGATAAAAAATATGTAATTGTCCTAAGGTTGTTAACAGCTTCATGCACGAAACACTCAGATTATATTTAAACAAACGGGAGACGCGGATTCTGCCTCCGCACGAACGAAAATTGAAAAATTGACTGATTGATGGAATGAAGGAATGGGTGATTGGTGGAATGAAGGAACGGAAAAAACAGCCCCCATTGTGAATGGGCCTTGTCTATTGTGAATGTGCAATTGTTTCTATTGTGAACGGGTACATTTTGTTATTGTGAATGGATATAAAGGAAATTTCCCAAGGAGTTGACCTCCTGTTGCTAAAAGGTCTATGAACATCTCTCCTGTTTTATGCTGTTGTTAAAAGGGAAGACAAATTTTCTCCTGCCAGATACCATTGTGAATTTCCAAAATTGGAAAAGGAAATATTCGGCCCTTGCTCGAGTGTACCACGCAATTGTGAGTAAAAATGTACCACAAATAAAATACTGCCTGGTAAAAGTTTGTATTTATTTCTGATGCAGTATTTCTTGTGTCTGACAAAAAACTAGTTGATGCGAAATACATGCGCGCGAAACCAAAAAAGATATCTATTATTTTATTGATGCTAGCTGGGAATTCTCCAAGCTCAAGGGCAACGCGTTGAATTGTATTAAAAAATAATACAATAACTATTATATTTTACTAATTTAAAGGCAAGTGAAAAATATTACTAGATTTCCCATGACATCCTCCTCCAACCACCCGATTGATCACTCATTAGTTCGCTCTCTTAAACAATTGTTATCCAATAAAAAGAGAATGACCCCCTTTTGGATAGGTGATAATGAACTCTCTTCTAATCGCCGATACTCTTTGTGTGCCATTTTCTGATTTAGTTACAAATTTGTCACATTCACTCCCTCCACGCTCCACCACCCCTCTGCTCATTCACTCACTCACACGATAAGATAATAGTAGAAGAGAGCTTTTCGTATCGAAAAAAATATTAGTTGCGGTTTGCTTGTGTCGCCGAACGGTTGTTTTCTATTTGGAAAATTTGCGCGAAATTATAATTAAGTGAGAAAACCAAAAAAACACACATGGAAATATGCCGTTAGTCAGCGGTCAAGGTGTATTGTTGTTGGCGTTGGCGCTCTCATTGATGCTAACGGAGATCACAGCTGTTTCCATTGGTTCGTTACCGTTACATAACTCTCTCTCCTGCACTCTTTACACTCGCTGCGCTCTCTTTGGCAGACGAGCAATGCATGCACGCGGACAGCTGTGAGCGATGTCTGGGGTCCCATCTGGATTGTGCCTGGTGCACGGACGAGGTGAGAATCATTTAGCACCCATCCCACTCAAGTCAACATAGAACTAACCCTGACTACAGTGAGAGAAATATTCATTAAGACGGAAGAAAGATTCTAGTAGGATATGATTCATTCCTAATTACGATTTGTATCATACTTTACTTGTTTACAATTATTTTAATGATGTCATTCGTACAGAAATGCAGAATATAACCAACCACTAACACCTTTTTCCATGTGACTCTCTCTCTCTCTCTCTCTCTCTCTCTCTACCTCGATGACAGACCTATCAGGTGCGCTATCGCTGCTTGACGCGCGCTCAACTCCAGAATTTTAACTGCAGCGAAAATGATATCTACGAGAATCAACCGGTGCTGGATCTATTGCAGGAGCGTCCCCTCAAGGACTATCTGGCGAACGATGATCAAGCGGTTCAGGTGACGCCGCAGCGTGCTTACCTCAAGCTGGTCAAAGGTATGAGTGCACCCAAGCTGGTCTTATCTTATCCAATAATTTATCAAATGGAACAGTTTGTTCGTTGTGCTTGTTTGTGTGTGTTTTCTGTTTTGGTAGCTCCCTCCTTTATGGCTCTATCAAGTGTGTCACTCTTCTGCTTGTACCTTCTCATTCGTTAGGCTGTTGTGTTTGCTCTACCGATTTGTTCCACATCATTTTGAACATTTTGTTTCGCTTATCAGCATTTTGTGGTTGTCACATCTGTGTGCTCTGTACGGGGTGTTTGTACGTGTATTAGGCGTGGGAATACCTCGCTCTCTCCCTCTATTGGTTAAGGGGAGAGTCCGCTGTTGGGTTCACTGAACCGATTTGTCGAGTGCCATGATAGGGTTTATCAATAGAGTGCAAATCGGAATATTGTGGTATTAAATGATAATTTCTTACGCAGAGGAACTGCTCCTCTCGGTTAGTGGTAGCAAGTAACCAGCCTCTTCTTGGCATCTTTGTGAAAAATCCAATGTAATTTGAAGTCAAATGTGTTTAAAGATTCAAAGGCAATGCAGATGTAAATAAGTTATCCTGCAGCTCAACTCAATGATCCTCAGAACATACCAATTCCCAAGAGATTACCTCTTTTCAGGTCCAAGAATCTTCACTTTTAAAAGACTTGAAATACAATTAAGAAAGAAAAGATATTCCAAAGAAATAAAAACCTCGTGGATTATTTTAAATGAGCTTCCATTTACATTTCAATTAGGGTTCTTCGGTCGATCGTTTAGGCTTCAAAGCATTGTGGCACACTCAAGAAAGCCAGCTGCCCAATGATCAATTGAATGGCCATTTAAATCGTTTATTTTCGAGATTGAATAAAGTCCGAAGTTTAAAAATACATTTATGTAAGAGCATCAATTAAGGTTTCAAGTCTGAAATAATACGCTTAAGGAAGACGGCCAATCATTTATCTCAAGGGTGTTATCCAGGTACAAGTGGTAATGAAAGGGAATCAGGAGCAGAACCAGGCCCTGTGCGCATTTTATGCAGATGTGGCAGATCGTAAAACAGCTCATAAACCAGACTGGCACTTACACATAATAATCTATAACCTTTGTTGTCTTCCCTTGTCCCTAGGGAACACGCAACGCCTCAAGTTGCGGTATCGAACGGCACGCAACAATCCACTAGACCTGTATGTGCTCATGGACCTGACCTGGACAATGCGCGACGACAAGGAGACACTCGAGGAATTGGGCGCACAGCTAACACAAACATTGCGCAATCTGACAGACAACTATCGTTTGGGGTTTGGCTCATTCGCGGACAAGCCCACGGTGCCGATGGTTCTACCTCAACACAAGGAGAATCCCTGTGCCCCCGTGGGTGGCGTGTGTGAGCCCACCTATGGGTATCGGCATCAGCTGTCCCTAACCGAAGATATTCGAGCATTTACAGCCGCAGTGGCTGGCAGCAAGATCACCGCGAATCTGGATAATCTTGAGGGTGGACTGGATGCCCTTATGCAGGTAATTGTCTGCCCCAAAGAGATCGGATGGCAGCAACAGGCCCGTAAAGTGGTGATCCTTGTCACGGATGGGTTTATGCACTTGGCTGGCGATGGTCTGCTGGCGGGCATCATTGAGCGGAACGATCGCCAGTGTCACCTGAATGGAGCAGGCGAATATACGGGTTCCTTGTTGTATGATTATCCATCGTTGGAGGAGATCTACAGAGAGCTACTGCGGCGCAAGATCAATGTGATATTTGCTGTGACCAAGGAGGTGGTCAGCACATATCGTGAATTGAGTGCACTGATGAAGGAGATCAGCTATGTGGACATACTCAGTGCGGATTCATCGAATATATTGGAACTGATTAAGAAAAGGTTCGCACAAGGGAATTTCATCAAATATTTTTGATATTTTCATTTGATTTTTATTGTAGCTACGAGAGTTTGATCAAGCGCACTCAATTCGATGACAACAGTCCGGATTTTATCCACATGGAATACTACACGGATTGTGCTGGACAATTCCCGAAGCTCATTAAGCGGAATTACTGCAACAATCTGAGCCTGGGCAAAGAGATTGAATTCTATGTGGATGTCACACTCAAGGATTATCCCTCAAATGGTGTTTATGTAAGCGGAATGGCCATGGAAACTTCAGCTTATCTTCTGTAATTCTTTCCTCTATTTTAGACACATAAAATCCGCGTGGAGGAAACCTCTCTCAATGAGTACATGGATCTGGATGTGGAGCTGCAGCGACCTTGTCCCTGCCAAGAGGAGCCCGAACCTGAGAACGAGGATCGACGCTTTAGGTGCGAGAATCAGGGCTATCTGCACTGCGGCATGTGCACGTGTGACGAGGGCTGGACGGGCACCTACTGCACATGCCCCACGGATGCCACGAATGTCACCACCAACGAGGCTTTGTTGCTGCAGTGCCGCCAACCCAAGGGCGATGAGAGCCGTTCCCCCCTGGTTTGCTCGAATCATGGAGAGTGCGATTGTGGCAGCTGCAGCTGTGATCCTGGCTATACGGGAGACTACTGCGAGTGCCGGGAGTGCGTGGACTGCGATGAGCAGCGAGCCGACTGCTACTGTGGCACGTGCGTCTGCAAGTACGGCTGGTCGGGCACGCGGTGCAATTGCAATGAGGACACCGACGCCTGCCTGGGGCCCACGGGCGAGGTGTGCTCCCAGCGTGGCACCTGCGACTGTGGCGAGTGCAGCTGCGATGAGCCGTTCCTGGGCAAGTTCTGCGAGATCGATCCAGAGAAGGACAACAAACTGTGTCAGTTCTATGAGCCGTGTGTCACCTGCCTGATCGAGCAGCGACAGGGCATGGGGGCGTGCGACAATCTGAGTGAGATCTGCACGAGTATCGACAGGCAGGAGCACTTCACCTACTCCTTTGTGGCCGAACTGGAGGCGGATGTCCGCTGCCTGGTGCGTATCGTCAACAAGCATGGCATACAATGCGACAGCTACTTTGGCTATCAGGTGATTGATCATGCCAACTACCTCTCCATACAGGCCGAAAATTGTGAACCCCTCGACTATGTCGCTCTGTTTGGTTTCATTTCTGGTTTCACTCTGCTGATTGGTCTGCTATTGATATTTCTCATACTTTGGTGCATCCGGGCCAAGGATGCCCGCGAGTTTGCACGCTTCGAGCAGGAGCGGGAAAATTGTGTGCGCCAGGAGAATCCCCTCTATCGCGATCCCGTGGGACGCTATGAAGTCCCAAGGGTATTGAGTGAGAAGTTTGATGAGAATCCATTTGCCAGTTGATCGATGGGTTTAGTTTGGGTTCTAAAGAGTCAGAGGATCATGAAAATAAGTAGTCTTTGCTTAGGGTTCGCAGGGAAATGATTACGATCAAGCTATTGACATATTTATAAGTATCTTTCATATGTTAAATATGACACATAGATAAGCCAATTGTATTTATGTAATATGAATAGTAACCACTGCCTCGACTGCAACTCTTGAACAGATAATTAAGAACAAAAAACGATGGATGAAACCTTCAGTTCGAAATTACTTTAAGGCTATAATATCTGTGTATTTCTATAAGTATAAGAGCCACAAACTTTCATTTAATGAGAGTAGAAGAAGTGGCGGCAGAAGTCCACAAGCATGACGCACATACATACACGTGTACATAATATGTAAACATGTACATAATATGTAAAAATGCTTGGACTTACAAGAAAAAGCTTTAAAAAATGTATTTACAAAGGTTAACTTCTTCCCAGCTCATGCCAAAAAAAAAAAACAACTTGTTGTATTTTTTATAATTTTTGTTGTTTTTATAGATATATATTTTATGGAATTAAATTTGATAAATCTTTCGACAATAATTATTATTAAATGTATGAACTAATTAAACTAACTATTTTCGTGTACCAACAAGTTCAATCTTTCATTTAATATTTTCGATTTCAAAATATAACAATTCCATTTAGCAAAAGTATTTATTAATTTAAGAATTAATGGCTTAAGAGGTGGAAACTTAATTAAAGAATGACTACGGCAAAACGGCAAATGCAAATGCAAATAAAACGTATTATCATAATGTAATCTAAGATCCTGCCAGTATATGTATGTGTTTATGTGGTATAAGGTTCTTAGAGATGTGGTTTATACAAAAATACAATTGAATTAATTAAGACTAAACGCTTTCACTCCCCCGTAAGTACGTCAGTAAGTATCTACTACCTTCGCTCTCTCACACGCTTTAACTAAATGTAATATCACTAGATTTGTAGCTTAGATTTAGTAAATGGTTTATTTGTTTGTTCTCAACCCCTCAAACCACACCACTGCCAAATGCTTGGACCAGCGCTCCTTTGGCCCGTGTGTAGGTGCACCCCGAAAAATGCCAAAAACACAAAATTCAATTACACATGCTCGTAACTCCATAACGCGGTAACGCTCATAAAATGCACACACAAAGGCACACACAGAACACGGAAGGGAAACCTTGAGTGTGGAATGGGATGCTGTGCTGGGTACTCTGTGGATTCTCTGTTTAGAGCACGCGCTCCCCCAGCGATGGTGTGCGCTGAATCAACATCGAGGGTGGCTTCGCCGGCAGGGTAACGCTGCTCAGCTCCGCATCGAGGGCGGCCATATCCGCGGTGGCGCTGTTTGTGGCCATACTAGACTTTGACTTGGCGTTCACTTTCGAGGCAGCGGTGGCAGCGCCACCAATGGAGCTGGGCAGACCTTGGGGTGAGGCATCGGGCACGAGGCGTCGCAGCAAACCACCCACACAGCCCCAGGGGAAGGTCCTGCAAAAACAAGACAAAAAAAAAAACGCAGAGTTCAGGTAAAGGTAAATAATATGCATTATTAAAGAGAAACACATTAAAGCAAGACCATTAGGCATGGTAATGTTACGAGGTTGCTTTCGGCAGGGCAGGGGCAAAGTCCAGTTCCCCATGGTTGGGGGTGCGCTTTCTCGTTTTTTTGTAGGGTAGGTAGATGAGTGAGCAGCTATTAAATAGGCTGGGATTTCTATCATATTTTTTTGGAGGGTTGGCGGACAGGGACATGCTTTGAATTTGGAATAGAAATTCTTACATTTTAATGGGAGAACAAACACAGACAAAACTTTATGTTTAAAGAGCAAAGTAGTGGCCATTTAGGGAAACATGATTTATGGTTCTTCAATGAGATAACAAAAATAAAGGTGATAGTTGTAGATTCAGGACTCTAACTGGGAGAGGAAATAAGGTTAAGAAAGTAGGTCAACCCGCAAGGAAGTGTCTTGATTTGGTGACCTTTTTTTGGATGACTTATTAAGCTTATCTTTCGAGCTACTTTGGGAAAGACATATTTATAAAACTACTAAATCATAGAAGTATTTGAATAAATAAAAATGCTTTAAGCTATTCCCTTACACAAATTCAATAAGAGACACAGAAAACACTCAAATTCATTCCTTAACCCACAGATCCCCCACATAACTTCACCAGTTGCAAAATACTCAACCACAAGAGACCCACAATGAAACTTTAATTAATATATTCAAGTCAAGTATTTCGCTTTGATGAGACCCATTAGGGGAGAACAAAACCTTTTACAAGCATTATGGCGCCTAATTAAGTGGGGAGAGGGAGCCAAATGATTGTGTTTAAATTTAAATGGAGAACCCATTTGTTTACTCACCATTTGAGGGAGAGCAGGGCCTTCAGGAAGCCAGGTATCACGGCAAGTTTCTCGTTCTTTCGGATGGCAGAAATGACACGATCGGCCACATCGTTGGGATTCAAAGTCGGGACCCATCTGCAATCATTTAGCAATTCAAAATGTCAGTGTCAAGAGTCACAGAAAGAGCCAGAGTCTCTCCAGAGACAGAGAGAGAGAGAGAAAGATTGAGCATGGCACTCACCTGGCGTTCACATCGTCGAACATGCCAGTTGCCTGAATGAAGAAGGGACAAATGCAGGTGGTTCGGATGGTCGTATGGCCAAGGACTTCCAGCTCCAGCCTCAGTGCCTCATCAAAGCCAACCTGTAATTATCGACCAACAAGAGTCAAGACAGTGGGCAGGGGAGTCGAAGTGATTGTGGAACACTTACCGCAGCAAATTTACTGGCACAGTAATCGACCAATTTGCTAATGCCCACATGGCCGGCCAGCGAGGCAATTGTGGCAATGTGTCCTCGGTCATTCTCAATCATTTTGGGCAGAAACGCTTTTGTCGTCTATAGGAATTTCAATATCATGTATCAAGACTCAACATTCTTCAACCTGTCCGGTTGCTCCTTCGTTCGGTCGTTCGTTCGTTCAACTCACCCAAAAGTGTGCCATAACATTCACATTGAACGAGCGTTCGATCAAATGATCGGGCGTATCCAGCAGATGCAAACCAGAGACAACGCCCGCATTGTTGATCAGCAAAGTAACCTGAAAGGAACAGCAAGCAAAAAACAAGTGTGAGCTGAGAGGAAACACATTTAATTAACAGAAAATCTTGGCTCAAAAATGTTGCCAAAAAATTAGCATATTGCGAAACATTTGCAAAGTCTGTTGCAATAACTAAACTAAAATATTCTCAACTTGTTTTGACCACCTAGACACACGATACATACTCGTACATAGAGACATGTAACTAGCCTTGACGGGTTTTAGATTTTGGGGTTTCGCATGGTCATTAGTTACATTATTTATTGTCCGAGTTTAATTTTGGTTACGAAATATGTGGGGCTAGATGTCTAAGAAGTATGTTGAAATATTTAACTAATTTCGAAACCCAAAAAGAGTTTAGGAAACGATTGATATGGAATTAAGTGCATTATAGAATAAATAATTGTGTCAACATAAACTGAAGAAAAGTGAATTCCCTTACATCCTCTTTGGTATAAACATTTTTGTTAGTTTGTTGTCCAACAGTTCTTCTACACGCTTCAAAGACTTAAGAAGATATTTAAACAGTTAAACAAAAACCCCAAATGGCCTTGAGATCGTTGAAGTTCGATGACAACCCAAAACATGCAACGTTTGAAGGTTCTATTAAAAGCAGAACAAAGCCCCTATAATTATAGAATTATCCAATTATAATTGAACCTTTGATACTAAGTCTTTACGAAGAATTAAGTGTCTACAGAGAGACTTCTAAATAAACAGAGAAATAAATATAGGAAATTGTTCTGACAATTACAATTTATTAAGTATCTTTTCATTACATTTCAATAAATTATATGAAGCCCAATAGAACTTTCTATTAGCACCAAAAACTGCTCGCAGAACTTGCCTCAACTTGACTTAAAGTTTCACGCGCACATATCAGAAATGTATTTACAAATTACCAAATTTAGTTTCATATCAAACTTTGAATTAAAATGTAATTTAAGCAAGTGAAATCCTTCAACAAAAGTTGAGCCATGTCAAGGTCCAATTGCGAATAATGTAAAATGCTCGAATGCCAGCCGACTGTCTGGCCGACATCCGCCCGTCGCTCCCTTGGCAGTTAACCATCTGGTCGTAATCGTAGAGCTACTCTAGCCTCTTACTCGGCAGGTATATGACTGCTGATTTTGCCGCTGGTTAAATAAGTTAACAACAAGTGCAGTGCACAAACATAATGATCCGATTTTGAGGGCGGGTTCAAGTGCAAAATTCGAGTGTGGGGCAGGGCCGTGGGTCATACATTGCGTATGAGCGATTTCAAATCTTCTTGCTGTAACCACGCAAAAACATTTAACGAGGCGTGCATTAAGATACAAACAGCCACAGAAACAAAACAGTGGCAGCCGCATAATTAAGGCAACAACAAAAAAACCCCCCAACAACATCGCCAGGCCATTAAAAAATATTAAATGCTATATTTCAGACAGATCCAAGCAATGCTCGTTGTAGTGAAAAAAACAACAACACAAAACTCTAAAAAAAAAGTTGAAAAAAAAGGCAACAAAAGCTGCGCGTCATCTGCATAACGCATGGCTTACTAAGCAGCTGAATGCTGTGTATATTATACACTTGAAAAGGGTTATATGGCGTATCTTTCTGGAGAAGACTTTCCACTTTCCATCCTTCCATCCATTCTTATGTGAATTAGTTTGTATTCATTTGCTGCTATGAAGATTTAAATTATGGAATCAAGACAAGTTGTAAGACCCAATGATCCCTAAGGGTTCCGTCCTTAGAAAGAGGCATTTGTTGCTTTTTGTTGGATCAGTTTATCTTCCATTTTTATATATCTAAAGTGTATCTTAAGCTTCAGCTATCGCATCTTTCCTTCTCTCATTTTCAACTTGTTTTGCTTTTTGTTTTTCTGCTCTTGTCTGCTACTGTTTTTCCCATCTTTCCATTTTTTTTTGTTAATTTCGGGTTCAACGCTTTTGAGGCTGTCATTATATAACTCTTTCAGAAGGCTGGCTTTGTTTAATTTTCTTCAACTTCCCATTTCGTTCTAGTGGGTTTGCGGGCATTTTTATGCTTGAACTTTTGATATAATTTTAACAATTTCAAAACTGAAATTATATTTTTGCTACTTTGAACTTGTGTCAGTTCGGTAAATATTTATTATGAAATTGGACTCTGGCCTTGCATCAAAAATCTCTTAAATTATGGGTTGTTATGCAAATCGTTTTTGGAGCAATTAAACAACAAAATATCAGGCCTAGAAATGGAAATTATTGCTATGAAGAATGGGGAATATATAGAAGATAAATTCGTCTTGTTTTACATTTTTTTTTAATGCTGAAAGATTAACAAAAGTGCTGGCATTTAGGGGATAATATTCCTTCGTAAGAGTAAATAAATGTGTACGCTAATAATGTTCTCTATCAACTGGTTAAGCAATATTCAAACTTTACTTTAAAATTCCCTCATCAAATATCTCAAAATACCTGGAATTCCAAACAAACATTACACACAGCTGTTTGCTTATTTATTTCCTTAAATTTAATTTGTTCGTAATTAACGGACTACCTCAACCCTGACTGGACTGTCTTCCTCATTAGCAAAGCTCCTCAAATATGATATGTATTTGCACATCACATACTCCCCGCAAGTACTCGTACAGGTTCTAATTGATAGAAC